TATGGAAGCAGCAGTGGCCGTTCAGGCGGATCAAGCAACCGTTATTCTGGCAGTTCAGACCGTTCTTCTTCTGGTTACGGGGGCTTTGGTTCAGGCGGCTCAGACCGTTCTTCAGGAGGTTTTGGGGGATTTGGTTCAGATCGTTCTTCAGGGTCAAGTGGAAGGAACAGCTTTGGTGGATTTGGATTAAAGGATCCTAACAGATCTTACTGAGAAGTGTTGGGTGGGTTTTGGACCCAACCTGACCGGACAATAATGGAGTTGGACCTGTGAGAGGACTCGGTGTCTCACGAGTAGAGTAGTTTACAAGGAGTTCAAGCTAAATCTGTAGCTTCTCTCTTGCCTTATAAACAAACATATTTTTTTTTTGAAGTTAAATGTCGTATCCTCTAATTTATTTTTATTTTCTACATCGGTAGAATAACCACTTCCAAATATGATTCTTGTTCATCGAGGCCAATTCATTTGGACATCAGAAATATTGTATGATCAAACGCAACACTAGTTTTTAATTTATGGCTTTTTCAAGTTGTCTCAATGGTGTCATAGATTTTTCAGTTTGTTTTCTACTTAAAAGCGTAGAATCGTAAAACTGTTGAACATACACCCTTACAGTTACTTCTTGATTCGTACGGAAACCATCACATTAGGGGCTGACCACGAGAACTCCATTGTACATTGTATAGTAGATCGAATTACTCTAAAAGTTATCGTAACATTTAATTCTTCAACACTGTCTAGCAGTTTGATACAAAAGCACTTCTCATATGTTTCACAACTTAAGCGTTTCATTCGCAATTACAGACAATCTTTGCTTATACAACATAGCGGTAGGTAACATAACGACCCGCAGTTTCACTTGGACGTATGATCTTCACGACTTGCCCACGTTTAAGTCCAAAGTATCTTGCGATTGGATCAGTCACCTGGATCCTTGGAAGCTGCATAGCCACAAGATCCAAACTTTAGTTACATAAAACAACAAGCCCATCATCAAGAAACAATGCTTCTTCTATGTAGAAAAACTACTAACCTGCGTCTCCTTCACAGTGTATCTTTCAAGTAAAGTTTTCTTCTCTTCAGTGGTAAGAACTTGATGCTCCGGAACAAGAACATGCTCTTTAATGTTCACTAGCATTTCCGCCTCCTGCAACAACCACCCAAGCATGGTTTAGAATTGTACATTATCAAGAGAACAAAAACCAACCATACCAACTGAATGTGTTTATACCTGGAAAACTTCCAAGTGAAATTTTGAAGAGATCTCACTTATACAAGTTCGAGCAAAAGGGGTCAGGTTCTGTTGCACCACCAAAATCGCTCTGTATACACTCTCGTCTTGCATCCGTTTCGTGTACATCTTCATCGTCTTAACTCCAACTTTTGCCTCATCAGGGAAGAAAATATAGAGCTACAAAGAGGGCATGAATCAGAAATCAGACACTGAAACAATTTTGTTCTACGCAAATGGCGATAGACCTATGCACATACCCTCTCCACAGCTTCTTACAGACAATGAATAAAAGAAGTGACATTTATCTACTTTTCTTCAAAATCTAGCTTTCTGTAACATTCATTCTCTAAAAGTATGATCCCTTTAGACTCGAGCTTTTCGTTACAAACAAGAGTACATGTTGTCTTATAGTCAATCTTACTCCTTCCATAACTCCAACTCAAAACTGAAGCAGTGCTAACCTAAGAAGCCGTAATACCAACAGATAAACAATGATGTTTTGACAAAGAACACTAAAGTAAAGGGAGAGTGTATATTACACAGAGACAATACCTGATCATTGTTATCGTTTCTCTTAGCTTTGAGAGTAACAAGATCCTCCCTCTTCATGTTATCCCCATATTTCCTAACAAACTGACTTTTGGTCATCGTAATTTCAGAATCCGCGATAAAGTAGCCACGATCCTTGAGCATCTGCATCAACGTCTTCTGGATTCTGTACAGCCGCTTGATTTCTTCTTCGGTCAACATCTTTTTTCACCCCCGATAGATCTGAAGATACAAAAACAAATCAACGAAATTAGGGTTTTTCTAACGTCACCGGAATCACCTCGACGCAACCATTCCATAACAAGGCTTCGTTTCCTTGACTATTCTAGGTCAAATTTACAAAAATTGACAGGGATTATCAATCTATAAAAGTGAGAACTTACGTTTAGAGATTGAAGAAGCAAATTGT